AGGTGGTCGGTAGATACATACCAATGAAAAGCTTTGGCAGCTGGATACACAGGTGACGCGTATCAGTTCTATATTGCCGTAGTTTTTACTGCAGCTCGTAACTGAAAACTGTTTGAAAAGTGTTCTATTTAACAAGATATAGACTCCTTTTCCACGTGAGGAACGATCCGTACGATAGAAGATGTAGTCGTTTAAACCAATCAAAGAGTCTGGGACAACGGGAGACAGCCATGTTTCAGTTAGCAGAATACAGGCAGGATTTTTTTCTTGTATATATAGAGTAAGAGGGTCAAGTTTGGCTAATAAAGATGCAATGTTTGTGTACATCACCGAATATTGCGCGATTTTGTTTCGATCGTGATACGATGTTTCGACATGGCCAGAAGACCTGCGTACTGGTTGCTATGTTGAAAAAATATCAGCTTTAAGTTTCTCAAGAGCTGATTTGTAAACGGGACAGGAATTATCCCAGACCGCGTGATTTGTGTCAAATTGTTTGCCTTCTTTGATAGACATTCGAATGCAGTTTATACATTTCAGGTTTTCGGCTACGTAGGCACTTAATTCATGCTCAGAACTGCATTTTGGACAGGAAAGTTTCTCCTTGCACACGCGGGACGAATGGCCGAAATTGTTGCAATTGAAACAGCGGTTAGCATCTAGTCCGTCAAAAACTATACAGTAATTGTACCCGATAAAGAGTCCGCCAGCTGCCATTTTAATCTGTCGTAAGATTTTTTATCTACTTGCAGTAGAGCCTGGTACGTAGACCGTTTTTTCTTCGTTGCCCAGAATTTTAAAATTTTGCAAGAGGACGAAACGTTGAAAATGGAATTATTAACTGACTTCATATAATCGGCAAGTTCGACCCATTCATCTTCTTCATATTTTTGAGAGAATCCGACAATCCTGACACGAGGAGATATACCGTTTAATTCACGTATTACGTAACTATTAGCTAGTTTTTCTTGAGCCAACTGTTTGAATCTCAAGTTTTGATCCGAAGATAGACAACCGACCAACATACCGCCGTTTTTTGTACTTTTCACTTTTGCAATCTGGATTTTTTCATTAGCAGGATCGATGGAAGAAGCAATGTCGGTTTTCGTTTGGGCGAAGTTTTGTTCGGGATTCTTAAGCCGGCCACACACACAGAGGGAAGACTGTGCAGTTAAAAGTGTGCACGCTTGTCGTAAGTTAAACCCGTACTCTCTAATTGCACACACAGAGAGAGGGAAGACTGCGCAACCAAAAGTGTGCACGCTTGTCGTAAGTTATTACAGTGGCGTGCATTTGTATTATATAAAAAAAAACAATTGTAAAATAAGTCAGACGTCATTTAAAAATACGACGCTAATGAATTAAAACACAAGCGTGCAGCGACTTGTCTCCACACACAGTGCGTTTTCCCCGCGCAGTTATAACTGTGCACGCTAGCAACAGACTTGAATGCACATGCCAGATTCTTCCCCACACACTAGGAGTTTTAACTGTGCCCCGTGGCACGTACATTCAAGTCTTGACTCTTCCCTCTGTGTGTGTGGCTGGCTTTAGGTTCAATTATGACTGCTGGTTTCGTTTTGTTTTTTAATATCGAGGAGAATGAAGTTACGGGTTCCGGCTCCATGAATGTGTCTTTTATCTGACGTTCGGCGTTCTTAATCAGATCAGTCTTTAAGTCGGAGAAAACTTCTTTCAGATTGCTAACCATTTCCTCGAATTTTTTCCCGAGAAAAACATTCAGAGAATCCGAATCAAAACTAACACATTTTTTTAAACAATCCGAACATTTCCAGTTGAGACCTGGAACAGATTCCAGCTGCTCTTGAAGGCTTTCCGGTACATCTACACATTTAAAGTGAAAACGCTTTTCACATGTTCCTGAGCAGGATAAATAGCCTGAAGATGGACGGGTTTTGATAGCGCTATGACATTTACCGCAAATAGGTAACATGGTCGATTTGAAAGAATTGTCGAAATGTCGGAAATTAAGAAAAAGTATATATATATTTTTTTTAGCAAACGATTGAGGGTCAGCGGGCCGCCTACAAAAACGAAGGCCGACCGCTGGCCGAACGAACACCAAAAAACAACTGCGGCTTGGTTGATAACGACAACACCGAAAGGAGATACACGATAAGTTTGTAATTAAATGGAAAGATCTCACCAGATTGGGATGAGGTGTGGATCACCGAATATTATAATCCAGGCAAAGTGATAACTCTCCCTGAATATGCACTTTTGTTAAGTGTAAATTCAAGATAAACTTCGAAAAACACTCGGAAACTCGGAGCACGACGTGTAAAAATTGTCGAAAAATGCAGTGATATGGATGTCATGATATAGATTTCTATCTTCACAAAAAACCGGTTTTAAATTAAAAAATTCAGCTCTTTCTATAATGAAAAATGAAAAATCTAAAATTTAAAGATTCGAGGGCGGGTGGGCGGGGTTAACATCTGCTAAAATAAGTCGATTTTGGCCAAATCACATACCCTCTAAGAAAAGAGAGGGTGGGTGGGTGGGACTAATAGCTGCTAGGATAAAACTGATTTTAGCAGGTATTAGCCCGACCCGTCTATTATTTTCTTAGAGGGTATGTCATCTGCCAAAATCAATGTTAGATTAGCAAGTATTAACCCCCCCCCCCCCGCACCCACCCTCTAGTTTCTTAGAGAAATCTCAGCAAGTACTGATGACATATCTTCTAAGAAAAGAGGGGGTGGGTGGGCGGGGCTGATACCTGCTAATATAAAAGCGATTTTGGCAAATCACATACCTTCTAAAAAAAGAGAGGGTGGGTGGGCGGGGCTAGTACCTGCTAAGGTAAGACTGATTTTGGCATTTTTTTGTATATTTTTTAAAAGTATTTTGGGGCTATGTCATTTCCCAAATCAGTTTTATCTTAGCAGGTACTAGCCCCGCCCACCCACCCTCTCTCTTCCTCAAGGGTATGTCATTTGCCAAAATCCCTTTTATTTTAACAATTACTGGCCCCACCCACCCACCCTCTCCCTTCCTCAAGGGTATGTCATTTGCCAAAATCCCTTTTATTTTAACAATTACTGGCCCCACCCACCCACCCTCTCTTTTCTTAGAGTGTATGTCATTTGCTAAAATCAGTTTTATCTGAGCAAGTACTGATGACATATCTTCTAAGAAAAGAGGGGGTGGGTGGGCGGGGCTGGTATCTGCTAAGCTAAAAGCAATTTTGGCAAATCACATACCTTCTAAAAAAAGTGAGGGTGGGTGGGCGGGGCTAGTACCTGCTAAGGTAAGACTGATTTTGGATTTTTTTTGTACATTTTTTAAAAGTATTTTGGGGCTATGTCATTTGCCAATATCAGTCTTATCTTAGCAGGTACTAACCCCGCCCACCCACCCTATCTTTTCTTCAAGGGTATATCATCTGCCAAAATCCCTTTTATCTTAGCAATTACTGGCCCCACCCACCCACCCTTCTTTTCTTAAAGGGTATGTCATTTGCTAAAATCAGTTTTATCTGAGCAAGTACTGATGACATATCTTCTAAGAAAAGAGGGGGTGGGTGGGCGGGGCTAGTACCTGCTAAGATACAAGTGATTTTGGCAAATCACGTAGCTTCTAAAAAAAGAGAGGGTGGGTGGGCGGGGCTAGAACCTGCTAAGATAAAAGTGATTTTGGCAAATCATATACCTTCTAAAAAAAGAGTGGGTGGGTGGGGCTAGTACCTGCTAATGTAAGACTGATTTTAGCATTTTTTTGTACCTTCTTTAAATGTATTTTGGGGCTATGTCATTTGCCAATATCAGTCTTATCTTAGCAGGTACTAACCTCGCCCACCCACCATATATTTTCTTCAAGGGTATGTCATCTGCCAAAATCCCTTTTATCTTAGAAATTACTGGCCCCACCCACCCACCCTTCTTTTCTTAAAGGGTATGTCATTTGCTAAAATCAGTTTTATCTGAGCGAGTACTGACGACATATCTTCTAAGAAAAGAGGGGGTGGGTGGGCGCGGCTAGTACCTGCTAAGGTAAGACTGATTTTGGCAAATTTTTTTGTAAAAAAAAAAAGAATTTTGGGGGAAAATCGTCATTTCTTAGAAAGTTGTGTAAAAATTGTCAAACAATGCAATGATATCGATGTCATGATATAGATCTCGACGTGCTGATTCCAAAAATATAGCGTGTTTATGGTAAAAGAGCAACATTTTTGAAATATTCGTCGCGAAATGCGAAATTTTTGAAATATTTCAAAATTTCGACATTTCAACTGGCGATTCTGGAAAAACGATTGGAGTAATCGAAGAATCGAGGCCCAAAGTGTCCTCTGCGGCCCGAAATCTACGAGAAAATGTATTTAGTTGAATTTCGAAAATGGTCGAAAATTGGTCGAAATTGGCATAAGGTGAAAATCTCATTTCTAAGAAAGTTGTGTAAGAATTGTCTAAAAATGCAGTGATATGGATGTCATGATGTAGATCTCGACGTACTGATTCCAAAAATATAGCGTGTTTATGGTAAAAGGGCAACATTTTGGAAATATTCGTCGCGAAATGCGAAATTTTTGAAATTTTTAAAAATTTCGACATTTCAGCGGGCGAATCTGGAAAAACGGTTGAAGTGATCGAAGAATCGAGGCCCAAGTGTCTTCTGCGGCTCGAAATCTACGAGAAAATGTATTTAGTTGAATTTCGAAAATGGTCGAAAATTGGTCGAAATTGGCATAAGGTGAAAATCTCATTTCTAAGAAAGTTGTGTAAGAATTGTCGAAAAATGCAGTGATATGGATGTCATGATGTAGATCTCGACGTACTGATTCCAAAAATATAGCGGGTTTATGGTAAAAGAGCAACATTTTGGAAATATTCGTCGCGAAAAGCGAAATTTTTGAAATTTTTCAAACTTTCGACATTTCAACGATCGATTCTGAAAAAACGGTTGGAGTGATCGAAGAATCGAGGCCCAAAGTGTCTTAATTGGCATAAGGTAGCCGGTTTTAAATTAAAAAAATCAGCTCTTTCTATAATGAATTTTATTAATTTCATCACTTGGAAAATATAAAACATCTCAAATACAAACTTTGTACTTACGCATTACAATAAAACGTTAGCTCCAACATCATCCTTGAATAAACTTTCAAAAAAGACGAGTACAACGCAAAATATCAACATATCTCACTAAGTCTAAGTGATTAAATAAATACGCAACTATTAAAATGATTCGAATCATTTCATCAAAATAATAATTAACTAAATGAAACTATTTAAAGCCCTGCGTAATGGTTATCGTTGCTAGTTCTATTCCTCCTCGGAGAAAATATACTTTTATTCTTCGGATCGACATCCTTCTGGTCCCTGCAACCAAACCTAGTAACACTTTCACCCACCACTCAAACCTTACTTGAAGAATGCCAGATGCTGTTCTAACAAAAATCTACTATTGCAATGCGCCAACTCGGGCCAGTGAGCCAAAACCCTTCTCAAATAAATCTGCAATCGCTTCCTTCTATCTTCAACCAGCGCCGAATCCTTCTTCCCTATACTCTTCTTCGGCGGAAAGTCGAAAGTGGTAACTGTAGGATCAAGTTTTTTTAAATCAGAATGCAAGGCATAGAATTGAGCATATCTTCTGTATATATTCCACTCGTCGTTCCCCGCCCGCAGGAAAATCTGGTACACGTGGTGGGCGTTGGAACCGCTCCCTATAACACAAACAGACAAACACACAAAGTGGTCAAAAAAATCTTCACGTAAGTCCCCAACCTGTCAGAAACGCGCTCGGAATCCAAATATTCACGTTCCCTCTGGTTTCAGTCACGATTTCGTCTGTAGGCATCGGACCGCGCAGCTCCTCCAGTTCGGACTTAAGCCGCTCTAGCAGTAAATCTAAAAATCTAAAAACAAGAAGCCAAAAAATCGAAAGACTGACAAATCACAAAAAAATGAAAAATCTAAAATTTAAAGATTCGAGTGGGTGGGACTAATAGCTGCTAGGATAAAACTGATTTTAGCAGGTATTAGCCCGACCCGTCCATTATTTTCTTAGAGGGTATGTCATCTGCCAAAATCAATGTTAGATTAGCAAGTATTAACCCCCCCCCCGCACCCACCCTCTAGTTTCTTAGAGAAATCTCAGCAAGTACTGATGACATATCTTCTAAGAAAAGAGGGGGTGGGTGGGCGGGGCTGATACCTGGTTATATAAAAGCGATTTTGGCAACTCACATACCTTCTAAAAAAAGAGAGGGTGGGTGGGCGGGTCTAGTACCTGCTAAGGTAAGACTGATTTTGGCATTTTTTTGTATATTTTTTAAAAGTATTTTGGGGCTATGTCATTTCCCAAATCAGTTTTATCTTAGCAGGTACTAGCCCCGCCCACCCACCCTCTCTCTTCCTCAAGGGTATGTCATTTGCCAAAATCCCTTTTATTTTAACAATTACTGGCCCCACCCACCCACCCTCTCTTTTCTTAGAGTGTATGTCATTTGCTAAAATCAGTTTTATCTGAGCAAGTACTGATGACATATCTTCTAAGAAAAGAGGGGGTGGGTGGGCGGGGCTGGTATCTGCTAAGCTAAAAGCAATTTTGGCAAATCACATACCTTCTAAAAAAAGTGAGGGTGGGTGGGCGGGGCAAGTACCTGCTAAGGTAAGACTGATTTTGGATTTTTTTTGTACCTTCTTTAAATGTATTTTGGGGCTATGTCATTTGCCAATATCAGTCTTATCTTAGCAGGTACTAACCCCGCCCACCCACCCTATCTTTTCTTCAAGGGTATATCATCTGCCAAAATCCCTTTTATCTTAGCAATTACTGGCCCCACCCACCCACCCTTCTTTTCTTAAAGGGTATGTCATTTGCTAAAATCAGTTTTATCTGAGCAAGTACTGATGACATATCTTCTAAGAAAAGAGGGAGTGGGTGGGCGGGGCTAGTACCTGCTAAGATACAAATGATTTTGGCAAATCACGTAGCTTCTAAAAAAAGAGAGGGTGGGTGGGCGGGGCTAGAACCTGCTAAGATAAAAGTGATTTTGGCAAATCATATACCTTCTAAAAAAAGAGTGGGTGGGTGGGCGGGGCTAGTACCTGCTAATGTAAGACTGATTTTAGCATTTTTTTGTACCTTCTTTAAATGTATTTTGGGGCTATGTCATTTGCCAACATCAGTCTTATCTTAGCAGGTACTAACCTCACCCACCCACCATATCTTTTCTTCAAGGGTATGTCATCTGCCAAAATCCCTTTTATCTTAGAAATTACTGGCCCCACCCACCCACCCTTCTTTTCTTAAAGGGTATGTCATTTGCTAAAATCAGTTTTATCTGAGCGAGTACTGATGACATATCTTCTAAGAAAAGAGGGCGTGGGTGGGCGCGGCTAGTACCTGCTAAGATAAGACTGATTTTGGCAAATTTTTTTGTAAATTATTTAAAAGAATTTTGGGGGAAAATCGTCATTTCTTAGAAAGTTGTGTAAAAATTGTCAAACAATGCAGTGATATGGATGTCATGATGTAGATCTCGACGTGCTGATTCCAAAAATATAGCGTGTTTATGGTAAAAGAGCAACATTTTTGAAATATTCGTCGCGAAATGCGAAATTTTTGAAATATTTCAAAATTTCGACATTTCAACTGGCGATTCTGGAAAAACGATTGGAGTAATCGAAGAATCGAGGCCCAAAGTGTCCTCTGCGGCTCGAAATCTACGAGAAAATGTATTTAGTTGAATTTCGAAAATGGTCGAAAATTGGTCGAAATTGGCATAAGGTGAAAATCTCATTTCTAAGAAAGTTGTGTAAGAATTGTCGAAAAATGCAGTGATATGGATGTCATGATGTAGATCTCGACGTACTGATTCCAAAAATATAGCGGGTTTATGGTAAAAGAGCAACATTTTGGAAATATTCGTCGCGAAATGCGAAATTTTTGAAATTTTTCAAAATTTCGACATTTCAACGATCGATTCTGAAAAAACGGTTGGAGTGATCGAAGAATCGAGGCCCAAAGTGTCTTAATTGGCATAAGGTAGCCGGTTTTAAATTAAAAAAATCAGCTCTTTCTATAATGAATTTTATTAATTTCATCACTTGGAAAATATAAAACATCTCAAATACAAACTTTGTACTTACGCATTACAATAAAACGTTAGCTCCAACATCATCCTTGAATAAACTTTCAAAAAAGACGAGTACAACGCAAAATATCAACATATCTCACTAAGTCTAAGTGATTAAATAAATACGCAACTATTAAAATGATTCGAATCATTTCATCAAAATATAATTAACAAAATGAAACTATTTAAAGCCCTGCGTAATGGTTATCGTTGCTAGTTCTATTCCTCCTTGGAGAAAATATACTTTTATTCTTCGGATCGACATCCTTCTGGTCCCTGCAACCAAACCTAGTAACACTTTCACCCACCACTCAAACCTTACTTGAAGAATGCCAGATGCTGTTCTAACAAAAATCTACTATTGCAATGCGCCAACTCGGGCCAGTGAGCCAAAACCCTTCTCAAATAAATCTGCAATCGCTTCCTTCTATCTTCAACCAGCGCCGAATCCTTCTTCCCTATACTCTTCTTCGGCGGAAAGTCGAAAGTGGTAACTGTAGGATCAAGTTTTTTTAAATCAGAATGCAAGGCATAGAATTGAGCATATCTTCTGTATATATTCCACTCGTCGTTCCCCGCCCGCAGGAAAATCTGGTACACGTGGTGGGCATTGGAACCGCTCCCTATAACACAAACAGACAAACACACAAAGTGGTCAAAAAAATCTTCACGGTAGTCCACAACCTGTCAGAAACGCGCTCGGAATCCAAATATTCACGTTCCCTCTGGTTTCAGTCACGATTTCGTCTGTAGGCATCGGACCGCGCAGCTCCTCGAGTTCGGACTTAAGCCGCTCTAACAGTAGATCTTTTTGGCACAAAGACTGCTGAAGGGCCACGTTGAAGTCCATCAGTTCGGCGTGCATTTCAGCAACCTGGACGAGTTTTCGTTCAAACAATTTCGCCTCTCCTTTATAATCCGGCTGCTCACTGATTTCCAAATCCTCCAACGTTTTCTGCAAATCGTCGACATCGTTGTCTTGCAACATCTGAATCGCCCCCACATATTTCTTGATTTGCTCCTTCAAGATCTCGTTTTCTTTCGAAAGCGCGTCGATTTTATCCTGCTTCTTTTTTAATTCTTCTTTGTTTTGAGCTTCCACCGCTGTCAGAACTTCGCTGATATCAGTGGGGATTTCGAGGATATCGTCGGACACGTCCGGAGATTCAAAATTTTTGTTGATTTCGACCGATACGGGTGTCAGCTCCCCGATTTCGGCGTGGATTACCGGCGTTAACGTTTCGGGCACGTCGCCGGTGAATTTTTCGCGGGAGCCGCTGGTTTCGATCGACAATTTTCGCTTTATTGTTGATTTTTCGTTTTCGTTTGACATTTCTGGTTTGTGTGGTTTGTTTTCTTCGACGATATCTTTTAGTTGTTTGTTTGTGGTTTTGGAAGACTGATTGTCGTTTGAATTACTGTCGGAAGAAATACTGTTTGAGGTTGAGGGGACACTGGTGGAAAGCACGCTGGTGTCGTCCTCATCAAAGGAAATGAATTGTCTGGCGACTTTTTTCTTTTTTTTGTTTTTGGGGCGCTCTTTGTTTTCTGTTTGGAGTGAAAGTTAGTATGGGGATGGTGGTTGAAAGGGGGTGTATTACCTACTATGGGGGCTTCTATTACGGGCTCTGCTTTAGATTTGAAATTTTCTATCCTAGGTTGGATGCCGCTGTTTAGCTCAGGTTTATCGATGTTTATGGCGAATAAAATTGAGCCTACACCTGCAGCCATGTTAGGTAACATGCTACTTTTTTCTTGATCACGTAATATTGCATTGTCTTCATAGTAGGTTTTTAATATCTCAGGGTTACTCAATAAAGTGTGGAAATATCTAAAAATTGTTGAATTATGAATATATTGACCATGCTTATTAAATACTGAAATAATAGAAAAGGCGGTGTGAAATTATTGTTACAGTTTTTGTCAGATTTTCATTTTTCCTTAGCATATTCGAAATTCTTTCTTTTTTGCTGTTTCGATTTCTCAATCTTTTGATTTTTTGCCCTATATTTAATAATGATAAAATAAAAATTGTCATTGTAGCTTAATTAATGATTTTAATCGCTTCCTCTGTTTTGAGAATTTGTTGCGTGCTTAATTGTCGCACTCTTTCGATGTATAAACCTAAACAACTGAAGTTAAGCAAGTACTGTAAATATATTTTCACTTCAGAGGCGCGGGAAGATTTTGAAAAATCGAGAAGTAAAAAATCAAAAAACAGAAAGTTGGAAATCTAAAAATTTAAACATCGAAATCTTGAAAAATCCCAAGACTTAAACAGAGAAATCGAAAAATCGGGAAATTAAAAAATGGATTAATCGAAAAACTGAGAAATCGAGAAATCGAAATCGAAAAATTCAAAAAACGCGAAATCGAAACATCAAAAAATTGAGATCGAAATAGCTAAACATCGAAAAATAAGAAAATTCAAAATTGAAAAATTTAACCTCAAACAACCCTATCAATCGAAAAATTGAGAAATCGAGAAATCGGAAGGATAAAAAATCGAAAAGTCGCAAAATAAAAAAATCATTAATCGATAAATTGGGAAAACAGAAAATCCAAAATTTAGAAACATCAAAAGATTGAGAAGTCGAAGAATCGAAAAACTGAGAAATGGAAGTGGCTAAAAATAAAAAAATGGGAAAATCGATAAACCGAAAAGTGAAAAATCGAAACATTGAAAAACTAAAAAATTAATTCCGAAAAATTTAAACGGGAAATCTAAAAACGAGACGGCGAAACATCGAAAGAAAACCGTTAAATCGAAATATCGAAAAACTGAAAAATTAATTCCGAAAAATCGGAAAATCTAAAAATCTAAAAACAAGAAGCCAAAAAATCGAAAGACTGACAAATCACAAAAAAATGAAAAATCTAAAATTTAAAGATTCGAGTGGGTGGGACTAATAGCTGCTAGGATAAAACTGATTTTAGCAGGTATTAGCCCGACCCGTCCATTATTTTCTTAGAGGGTATGTCATCTGCCAAAATCAATGTTAGATTAGCAAGTATTAACCCCCCCCGCACCCACCCTCTAGTTTCTTAGAGAAATCTCAGCAAGTACTGATGACATATCTTCTAAGAAAAGAGGGGGTGGGTGGGCGGGGCTGATACCTGCTAATATAAAAGCGATTTTGGCAAATCACATACCTTCTAAAAAAAGAGAGGGTGGGTGGGCGGGGCTAGTACCTGCTAAGGTAAGACTGATTTTGGCATTTTTTTGTATATTTTGTAAAAGTATTTTGGGGCTATGTCATTTCCCAAATCAGTTTTATCTTAGCAGGTACTAGCCCCGCCCACCCACCCTCTCTCTTCCTCAAGGGTATGTCATTTGCCAAAATCCCTTTTATTTTAACAATTACTGGCCCCACCCACCCACCCTCTCTTTTCTTAGAGTGTATGTCATTTGCTAAAATCAGTTTTATCTGAGCAAGTACTGATGACATATCTTCTAAGAAAAGAGGGGGTGGGTGGGCGGGGCTGGTATCTGCTAAGCTAAAAGCAATTTTGGCAAATCACATACCTTCTAAAAAAAGTGAGGGTGGGTGGGCGGGGCTAGTACCTGCTAAGGTAAGACTGATTTTGGATTTTTTTTGTACATTTTTTAAAAGTATTTTGGGGCTATGTCATTTGCCAATATCAGTCTTATCTTAGCAGGTACTAACCCCGCCCACCCACCCTATCTTTTCTTCAAGGGTATATCATCTGCCAAAATCCCTTTTATCTTAGCAATTACTGGCCCCACCCACCCACCCTTCTTTTCTTAAAGGGTATGTCATTTGCTAAAATCAGTTTTATCTGAGCAAGTACTGATGACATATCTTCTAAGAAAAGAGGGGGTGGGTGGGCGGGGCTAGTACCTGCTAAGATACAAGTGATTTTGGCAAATCACGTAGCTTCTAAAAAAAGAGAGGGTGGGTGGGCGGGGCTAGAACCTGCTAAGATAAAAGTGATTTTGGCAAATCATATACCTTCTAAAAAAAGAGTGGGTGGGTGGGGCTAGTACCTGCTAATGTAAGACTGATTTTAGCATTTTTTTGTACCTTCTTTAAATGTATTTTGGGGCTATGTCATTTGCCAATATCAGTCTTATCTTAGCAGGTACTAACCTCGCCCACCCACCATATATTTTCTTCAAGGGTATGTCATCTGCCAAAATCCCTTTTATCTTAGAAATTACTGGCCCCACCCACCCACCCTTCTTTTCTTAAAGGGTATGTCATTTGCTAAAATCAGTTTTATCTGAGCGAGTACTGACGACATATCTTCTAAGAAAAGAGGGGGTGGGTGGGCGCGGCTAGTACCTGCTAAGGTAAGACTGATTTTGGCAAATTTTTTTGTAAAAAAAAAAAGAATTTTGGGGGAAAATCGTCATTTCTTAGAAAGTTGTGTAAAAATTGTCAAACAATGCAATGATATCGATGTCATGATATAGATCTCGACGTGCTGATTCCAAAAATATAGCGTGTTTATGGTAAAAGAGCAACATTTTTGAAATATTCGTCGCGAAATGCGAAATTTTTGAAATATTTCAAAATTTCGACATTTCAACTGGCGATTCTGGAAAAACGATTGGAGTAATCGAAGAATCGAGGCCCAAAGTGTCCTCTGCGGCCCGAAATCTACGAGAAAATGTATTTAGTTGAATTTCGAAAATGGTCGAAAATTGGTCGAAATTGGCATAAGGTGAAAATCTCATTTCTAAGAAAGTTGTGTAAGAATTGTCTAAAAATGCAGTGATATGGATGTCATGATGTAGATCTCGACGTACTGATTCCAAAAATATAGCGTGTTTATGGTAAAAGGGCAACATTTTGGAAATATTCGTCGCGAAATGCGAAATTTTTGAAATTTTTAAAAATTTCGACATTTCAGCGGGCGAATCTGGAAAAACGGTTGAAGTGATCGAAGAATCGAGGCCCAAGTGTCTTCTGCGGCTCGAAATCTACGAGAAAATGTATTTAGTTGAATTTCGAAAATGGTCGAAAATTGGTCGAAATTGGCATAAGGTGAAAATCTCATTTCTAAGAAAGTTGTGTAAGAATTGTCGAAAAATGCAGTGATATGGATGTCATGATGTAGATCTCGACGTACTGATTCCAAAAATATAGCGGGTTTATGGTAAAAGAGCAACATTTTGGAAATATTCGTCGCGAAAAGCGAAATTTTTGAAATTTTTCAAACTTTCGACATTTCAACGATCGATTCTGAAAAAACGGTTGGAGTGATCGAAGAATCGAGGCCCAAAGTGTCTTAATTGGCATAAGGTAGCCGGTTTTAAATTAAAAAAATCAGCTCTTTCTATAATGAATTTTATTAATTTCATCACTTGGAAAATATAAAACATCTCAAATACAAACTTTGTACTTACGCATTACAATAAAACGTTAGCTCCAACATCATCCTTGAATAAACTTTCAAAAAAGACGAGTACAACGCAAAATATCAACATATCTCACTAAGTCTAAGTGATTAAATAAATACGCAACTATTAAAATGATTCGAATCATTTCATCAAAATAATAATTAACTAAATGAAACTATTTAAAGCCCTGCGTAATGGTTATCGTTGCTAGTTCTATTCCTCCTCGGAGAAAATATACTTTTATTCTTCGGATCGACATCCTTCTGGTCCCTGCAACCAAACCTAGTAACACTTTCACCCACCACTCAAACCTTACTTGAAGAATGCCAGATGCTGTTCTAACAAAAATCTACTATTGCAATGCGCCAACTCGGGCCAGTGAGCCAAAACCCTTCTCAAATAAATCTGCAATCGCTTCCTTCTATCTTCAACCAGCGCCGAATCCTTCTTCCCTATACTCTTCTTCGGCGGAAAGTCGAAAGTGGTAACTGTAGGATCAAGTTTTTTTAAATCAGAATGCAAGGCATAGAATTGAGCATATCTTCTGTATATATTCCACTCGTCGTTCCCCGCCCGCAGGAAAATCTGGTACACGTGGTGGGCGTTGGAACCGCTCCCTATAACACAAACAGACAAACACACAAAGTGGTCAAAAAAATCTTCACGTAAGTCCCCAACCTGTCAGAAACGCGCTCGGAATCCAAATATTCACGTTCCCTCTGGTTTCAGTCACGATTTCGTCTGTAGGCATCGGACCGCGCAGCTCCTCCAGTTCGGACTTAAGCCGCTCTAGCAGTAAATCTAAAAATCTAAAAACAAGAAGCCAAAAAATCGAAAGACTGACAAATCACAAAAAAATGAAAAATCTAAAATTTAAAGATTCGAGTGGGTGGGACTAATAGCTGCTAGGATAAAACTGATTTTAGCAGGTATTAGCCCGACCCGTCCATTATTTTCTTAGAGGGTATGTCATCTGCCAAAATCAATGTTAGATTAGCAAGTATTAACCCCCCCCCCGCACCCACCCTCTAGTTTCTTAGAGAAATCTCAGCAAGTACTGATGACATATCTTCTAAGAAAAGAGGGGGTGGGTGGGCGGGGCTGATACCTGGTTATATAAAAGCGATTTTGGCAACTCACATACCTTCTAAAAAAAGAGAGGGTGGGTGGGCGGGTCTAGTACCTGCTAAGGTAAGACTGATTTTGGCATTTTTTTGTATATTTTTTAAAAGTATTTTGGGGCTATGTCATTTCCCAAATCAGTTTTATCTTAGCAGGTACTAGCCCCGCCCACCCACCCTCTCTCTTCCTCAAGGGTATGTCATTTGCCAAAATCCCTTTTATTTTAACAATTACTGGCCCCACCCACCCACCCTCTCTTTTCTTAGAGTGTATGTCATTTGCTAAAATCAGTTTTATCTGAGCAAGTACTGATGACATATCTTCTAAGAAAAGAGGGGGTGGGTGGGCGGGGCTGGTATCTGCTAAGCTAAAAGCAATTTTGGCAAATCACATACCTTCTAAAAAAAGTGAGGGTGGGTGGGCGGGGCAAGTACCTGCTAAGGTAAGACTGATTTTGGATTTTTTTTGTACCTTCTTTAAATGTATTTTGGGGCTATGTCATTTGCCAATATC